ATGAATTTTACTCCATTCATGTAACAACCAGAGTACGTTTCGGCTATTATGGGGCCACATGCTAGTTCCAGTAGTTCTTCGTCGAACAAGGGCGATTTATCTTCTCTCAACTGTCTCATCTAATTTAATCAAATACCACTGTATATGTAAGTTTTCTTCAACAAACAAAAACAAATTAATTTAAAAATAAAAAGACTTACATGTTTGGCAAACTAAATCGAAAATAAATGTCTGTCCATTTCAACCCATGATTGAAAGGATATTAGGTTTTCATCAATGCATGTTGTTGTTTGCGGAATAACCAGACATTATTGCAATTGTTTAATATGACCTAATGAGCCACCTTCAAGTCGCCATCTTTAAATGGTTCAGACAAAGGTTCTTCGTTGAATGGTCATGTAGGTTGAGCAAAGACAAATAGTTTTTTGGTTAGCTTATCCCGTCAAAATTGCGCAGGTGCTTATTAAAGGAAGTTTCAACATTTCGGAGATACATCGCACAAAACCTAAGTGATTTTTATACAATGACCACCTCCGCTATGGATCATTCGGGTCATGCCTTGTTGCGGACGAACCGCTTGTACGAGACGAGCAGTAAAAAATAACATTATGAGAATTTTTATTTCAATTTCTAGATGAAGAATATTAACAAACATACTGATAAGATTACCTCTCAATTGGATACATCGAACGATTATGCACCGACCCAGCAAGCTTTGCCTCATCTGGTAGATGTATTAGAAGGTGAACCATTCTCGTGCAAAAAATGTCCGCTGATATATTTTCTTTAGCTGGCATAAGACATACATAAAATCCTTGCTCATGTCATCTACATCTAACTTTCGCAACATTTTAGCACATAATTGCTAGAAGAACTAAGACAAACATGTTATCGTCTTATCAACCTCGTTGTCCAAGTAAGGTCAAATACCAATGGAAATGAGTCGTTGTGGTAACACATGAAAATTACAACTCTTCAAACCCAACAACGTGCCACTGTCCATTTTAACGTGTCTTGATATATTGCCAGCGTGCCCACCTGGAAATTTCACACTTTGCAATCACTTAAGGAACCTTTCTTATGATCCGGTTTGAAAGTATAATTAGTTACCATTGACACATTCATCTCACAGGTTAAGCATTATCCCCACTTCTTTCATGCCAATACGATTCTTCATGGTGTCCTTCAATTTTCCCTCGATAGATAAAGTTGTTCCCATCACATTTTCACAAAGGTTCTTCTCAATATGCATGGGAACCGCAATGTGTTTGATTTTCAACTTTGGCCAGTATAATTTAAGAAATACTCTTTCTCGTCCAATTTAGTAGTTCCACTAGTCTCGGTCTTTTCCCCGAATCAAAGACTATTCAACTTGGACAATATCTCATCTCCGGACCATTCCCTTGATCTAAGCTGAAACTTTGTTTTCCCATTAAATGCTTTAGACTCCCTACGCTAGTCATGATTGAAGAAGAGCTATCTTCGGTGGCCCAAGTAGCATATCTTCCAAGAGTGCCAAAATGACAAGGTGTAATCAGTAATCATCGATATAGGGTTTGCTATATAACCTTTGATTCTCCTGCCTGACAACATACCATAAGCTGGGAAATCATGAATTGTCCACATAATTGTTGTTCACATAGTAAACATTTTCTCAATGGACTTGTCGTACGTTCGTACACTATTTTTTTTCCATAAATCTATCAACCCACCAGTCAATAGCCGCATATAAACATCAATGAAATCATTGGGTGACTTTGGCCCGGGTATTAAAAAAACTCATGATCGTTGATTTTTTTCATGCATCACTAGAGGGAAAGTTATAAGGAATCTCCATGACAACCATCAGCCAAGTGTTGTGCTCATTTGAAAAATGTCCAAACGATTTGAAGTCGTCGGTAAGAAGTCCTAATCTGACATTTCTTTGCTGTGCCTCAAAATCAAGATACATTTTATCAAATTCTGTCGAATGTCGTAGTACATCATCATCAAAATATTCGTCCTTATGCCACCTCATATTACGTGCAATGTGAGTCGACATGTTATTCTTTGTAATCTTGGCTTCAATGGAAAATGATGCAACACCTGATTGGGAATTTAGTTCTTTCGATATTACAGCTCATTGCACTTGGGACAATTGTCTAGCTTTTTAAATTCAACATAAAACAATACACAATTATTTTTGCATGCATGGATCTTTCAATATTCCAACCCGAGATCGTTCAACATCTTTTTTGAGGTAGAATGATTTATAGGCAATGCATTAGGTTTCGGAATGATACGTTTAATAATCTCCATCATCATATCATGATTTTGATTAGTCATATTACACTCTACTTTCATGTACATCAACTGCACAAAGGCTGTTAGGATCGAGAAATCTTGACAACTATAGTACAATTCTCGCTGAGCTTTTTTCAACAATCTATTGTATTTCTCAGGGTCTATGGAAGCTCATCGTCCACCTTGAGCTAAGCGTTAGGGTAAGTATCATTCGATATGTCTATCACTTAGTCATCATCAACAGGACTAGATGAAGGGGTTAATGTCGTTGTCAGAAGTTGTTGACGCTTTAATAGGCGATTCTCGTTGATAAGTCAAATTCAGTAAGTGTTTACCGTTCCATTCTCGTACAAATGATATCGGACTTTGTCAAATGTCATCCAAACACAGTTGTTACATTTCACGCATGGACACCTGATACAATTATGAGCACTGACATAGTTGCTTGAAAATCCAATAAATGTGTCGATCCCATCCAATATTCATCATGACTTCTATCATGACTTTATCTACCCTTTGTCCATTGTGCCTGTTTCTAAAGAATTTAGTGATCATAAAAAGTTGATATACGATCATTCGTCCCCTTATGCCTCCGGTGATGATCCCATCCCATTCAAAAATGCACTTTGTGTGTTGCGGTTTGCGATTCAAGCAACTATTTTCAACGTAAAAAATTCGACAACATCTCCCTAGAGTTCCCCATGTGCATGACATAGATATTATAAACAAATATCTAGTATGCACTTGAAGAACATTAAGGGATACAACTGAATTTTTCACGATCAAAACTTAGCCATGTTCATCACAAACCTTAAACACATATTATTGCACTCCTGAACTATCCTAACTGGACAGTTCAAGAATCAGTTAGATCGTAGAGGCGTGTACTGCATCTACGCACACTCCAACATACTCTCAAACGGGTATAAGGTTTTACGATTTTATTATACGAAGTTAGTCAACATATTTAACTTCATATAAAGGTTATGAAATTTCATCAAATTTCACACTATGATTTCTTAGGCTAATGCTGCACAAATTAAATACACCTAAGCTACATATGTTTCAATAAAACACAAACTCAAAATTTCACACAACTCAAAATTTCACACAACCCACAATTACAACATACATTTATATCACTATTAAATAAATTTAAAATTCCTAAAAAATTAAATTAAGAGATACATACCTTTCCTTTAATTATCTTCCAATTCAATCACAAACTTGCAAGAAAGAAAATTAATCAATTATACAATTTAACAAAAAATATTAACAATATGAGATGAAAAACAAACCTTAACTCAATATGGGGAGGGAGAGTGAGAGATGGGTGATGAGGTGGGATGCGATGGGTCTGAGTGAAGAGAGATAGTAGAATTTTTGGTAGAGAGGACCAGCAGTGTATGGAATGAAGAAGAAAGAAAGGAGAAGGAGAAAGAGGTTGCACAACTTGTTTTAATGAATTGGGGTTAGGCCGACGAACGGGTTAATTGGCCAAAGTTAAGAAGGGCATTAAGCAAAAAAGGTGTCCATGGGGTTTTTGATAGGTCATCCTTGATCTATGCCTGACGCATTATATGCTTTGCCCAACAAAATGGTTCGTCGGACAAACTCATCTATGGCGACAAACTGTTTTTTCATCAGGCAAAAGTTGGCATAATATGCATCATTTTTTTCCCTTGGCGTGAAAAACTTTCCTGATGAAAATTCTTTACCCAACGTAACTTTTTCGTCACCTAAAGCGTCTAAAAACCCCTAAACGTTGACCGCTTTTACCCGATCAAATTTTTTATTTTGTCAGGCAAAGTAACTTTAGCTGACAAAATTTTGTTTATTGAGCAAAATTTTGTCAAGCAAATAGTAATTTCTAGTAGTTTTTGATTGATTTTCTAGCATGTAAATTAATGATAATTGCTTAGCAAATAGCAATGCCAAAAAGAAAAGGATAATTTTTATGATACAAGTTAGTTGTGACGTTTCATATAGTAATATAATATCATGTACTAATTTTTTACTACGTATCATTGACACAGAACCGTTATATGTGTGTATACATTTCTATTGAAATCCTTCTCCAAAATAAGATACGGGATTATATGTCACCATCCCAAGATTCTATTCCAATCCGGTAAATACGCCTTGAGAACATATAGTCAATTTTGACTGTGACCGTTACTGCAAAGTTTCAATTCATCAGGGGTCAACTCCAGGAGAAGCCCAAAACGGCCGAAAATGTGACATGCCCTACACCATCTGATGTCACAAAATGATTCTTCTGGGTAAAAGCCCTTGGAATTTTCCCCTCTGTGACTATATTTAGTTTGTACATAGAGACTTTTTACAATGTTTTGGAGTATTCAGATTTATTTCAACTGTTTTATGTTTGATTAGAAAAATAAAAAAGAAGATGGAACAACTAAAATGTGAAAAGTATTGTATACTTTAGAGCATCATAAAATTTTATGAAATTAGCACAAAATCAAACACAATAACTTTTTAAAATTCATACAGCTGACCTCACTTATTAGGAAAATACTTTGTTTTTTTGTAGTAGTTAACATGTTAATTTTAATTTTTGACACAAAACTATAATTTGTCGTATGATTAACCAAACAAATCATAAGGACCTATTAAGAAACAGAGAGTAACAAGAAGTTGAGCATAAAATTTAACTAAAGGCTAAATATATATTACCAAAATATGCAGAGCATTGATATAAATATATATATGTTCCATACAATAAAACATATTTTACATAGTGATATGCCCTCCATGTCCTGAACACAAAAAGTCACCGTTGGTTGGTAGCTAGTGCATGAAGTAACCAAGCTAAGATCTTGTACATAGACGTAACTAACTAGCTCTTTCTCGACCGGTCGATGGGAAAACCCTAACTTTTAAGGATCAGTGCGAGGCTTTTTGGGGGCATTTCCATTGTGGTGCAGTGGGTCAGGACCAGAAGGAACCTTCCTTAACTCAGACCCAACCTCCAACTTGTTCTTTCCATTCATAATATCATCATCGCCGTCAGCTTCTTCATCCTGCAGCAACTTCCCACTCGTACCAACATCAACCTCATTATTTTTTCCTTCGATGCCAGCAACCAGCATCTGTTCATATATATGCATCAACAAACGAAGCATGATCAGATGAAATTAACTTAATTTATAATTTAAATCTATAAATATTATAGAAGAGATCTTATTTATAATTGTTAGGGAAAAAATCGAAATAGTAAAAAATGTGGATGTACCTTTCTGTTTTGATTTCCTCGGAAACCAGCTCCCTCACCACCAAGGCACCCATGGCCAGTGCGCATGCATTCTGTTTAACAGGGAAAAAAAACAACTCCATTTTATCTACAGCAGTTCGCTTAATTTATAGAAAATCAGATACATATTATATAGGAAACTATTATGCATAAGGAAATGGTATTGCGTCCGAGACAGTGAGAGAGAAAGAGAAACCAGTGCTAGCAGCTTCCTCCATCCGCAGCAAGCACGAAGCCACAAGAAAAACTAAACAAAAAGCCACTGATGATCTTGATGCCATTTTTCGGATTTCCTAGCTAAGAATAAACCCTAATGTGCAGCAGAATAGCGAGAGGAAATTGGAAATATTAATTGTGAAGTTTTGGAGAGGGGGGATTATTCAATTTATAAGGGCTTGGCTTGTAAAATCTGAATCCCCTCACATAATTGCTCATGCAGCCATTTCTCTAGAAATTAATGATTAACTAGCTTTAGTAGCCAGCTAATAAGATCTTCTCCCTGTGACGTAGGACAGCGCCGTCTTCAATCGTATCATCACAGCCACGCACGTCACTCCACAATTCAGATTTTGCAAATATTTAATGTGGATGCTAGTTACCTTCTTATATGAAACTTCTCATTTTACTTTTTCGGCTCTTCTTTTCAATTTTCAATGTTATTTGATGATTAGAACTACGAATTTTCGTCACCTGCATATTTAGGGTTAAGTCACATAAGAAAACTTTTAAGAAAACAAGATTATTGTAGTATAAATGATTTAAACAAGGTCAATGTCTACATAAACTGCTATGAATAACTTGTGCTTAAAACAAATTGTAATTAATTATTTAATACAAGATATAGAAAATTGAAATCATAAGTGCAAATAACCAAAAGTATTAAAATCAACAATATTGAAATCAAAGAACAATTATAATAAACAGTTTAAGATAATCAAGACTTTGAAGTACTAAGGCTTAGCCGTCACCATTAACCAATCTAAGTAGTTCTACCGATAACTTATGAGTTAATACATACAAGCTTTGAAGGTTAGGTTTTGATTATGCATATTCTACATGTGATATTCAAGCTAGAACATATATTTAACATGCAATCCGTCTATGACATTCAGATCAAATATAAACGTGCAAGACTCATTAAGTTTTGTAAAAATCCTTTGAAAAATCATGTAACTTAAAGCATGATATTCGCCTTAAGTGAGCGTACAATTTCTAACCACAAGAAGCATTAACCAATTTCAAGATGATATTCCAACAGAAATTGCATCCAATTACCAGTCTAAACATCATAATGGTGATCAAGCATCAAGATATATGGGTAGCTTAAAATTTGTGATTGAAATTCAAAGCAAGCATGCATAACATCTTAAGTAAACTAGAGAAAAACTACATATTCATGCCAAGGCTCGTAACCTCATCGTAGCAAAGAGAATTAGTTACGCATAATCATAATTGAATATCAAAATATAGATAGACCTAGAAATCTAATTCCTACCTAAAATAGGTTCCCCCAACAAATTTGGATAACCAAATGAAATAATATTACTTAAAAAATACATTCCTATTCTTATTTTAGTAAATTGGGTAGTCAGAAAGTCAACCCGTTCTATGACCAAATCTGCAGAGAATTAGGTATACAAGGTGGCGTTGGAAAGATAAAACATCCGCTTCGACTTTGCAGAAGGAAAGTTCCTCAAAAATGTCATCTTCAATTACTTATAGTTCAAACGAGACTAGAACGTCAATTTTTAAGCACATCGCAAATGCCTTCATCTAATCGCCACGATCAACAGATAAAATTAAAACTAAGAATTAAAGGCAGATGTTTTGACCCAATCAACTTGAATGACTTGGGAATCTATTCTAATTGGAATCATTCCAAAATTCCATCGTTTCATCACGTTTTAAGGAAAGTAGATTCCGCTTGTCCTATTAAAAAAACATAAAAGAAAGTAGTTAAATTCTCTCAAAAACTTACATAAAATATAACTAAAAATAGGATAAAATAAAATATAATAATGACTCATCAAGAACCATCTAATTTCTATATCACCATTTAAAGATCAATTCTGCAAATATCAACAAAAAAAATTTTTTTTTGTCAAACAATAAATTTTGTTAAATTAGTTATGGACGGAGTTTAAACATACATGGTCATGTAAGAACAAAACTCATTTTCACCACTGTAGTAAGTGACCACTTGTCATTCTTTTTAATTAAATAAAGAATAATGTGCCACAATCCTCTCCTTATTATTACCCTGCATGCACCAGCAAAATAGGTATCTTCTTCAGGATGATGATGTCATAACAAGTGCCAACAATGTTGTGAAATGCCAGCCGTACGATCATGCAGTATATGCTTTCCGTTAGTGGTGATGATCATGATGGTCATAATTATATCTGGGAGAAGCAAAGATTTTGCATGATTGAATCATGGAAAGTGGAAACTAATAAGGACTAGTGAATGATTGATATTTTTTATAGGGTTTTTTCAGCTAAAGGTTCCCTAACTGTTAGTGGCTCTGCTTTACTTAATTAATTAAAATATTATTTCACGTATATATTAACGAGTAAGATGCTGTTGCAATAAGTAAGAACTTTTTTGAAACCGACTGACTGAAGACACCAGATTTGGCAGCTGGCTTTATGAATCTTGCCCCATATCTACAGCATGCTGTAGGGCTAGGATATATACGATATCAAATATCTAGGGTTTCGCCTGCTGCATCCTCAATTTAAGAGAAAATAGTAGAAATAGGCGCTCAATTGTAGCACAATTGAGCAATAGTACGGCTACTAAAATTTTATCTTCATTGGTTCCTTAACTCGTCTAAACATACAGTTATTGTTCTTTTAGTCAACTCTGTCAAAATTTCATCAAAATAATTCATGTTGAAAAGATCATTGCTACAATTGGGCTAAAGTTGAGGAACCATTGCTGCAATTTTTTTTATTTAATTTTTCATATTTGCCTCTTAATTCAACCTGAAGTGTGCGGTACGTGACTTATTTTAACAAAAGTTCTAACGAAGTTGTCGAAAATGACAATATATGCACGTTTTAATGAGTCAATGACCAATTGTCATGAATTTTTATATAAGGGATCATTACTCTAATTGAGTTACTGTTGAGGACCATTCTACAATTTCTCTTAGTTTAAATAATACTAGTATTTGCCTACACACTTTATGTGTATGAACATATTTTTTTAGAAATGACAAGGAGAGAGGGAGAGAGAGAGAACTTGGGGGGAATGGGAAGTTTTTGTTTTCGATTTTTTTTTTAATATTAGAGGTATTTTAACATCATATGTAGATGAGGCTTCGATAAAAAAATAGTAAAATTTAGACTTGTGAAATTACATTATTACCCATCATTTTTTTTTGTGTGATAGAAGACTAAATAATTTTTTCATCCTTTTTTTATTGACAAAGAGGATTTCATTAATTAATAGAGATTTATATTATAAGGTGTGCGTGATGTGGGATTGAACTGAGTTGCCATAGAATAAAGTAAGGATATATGGTTGTAATATTCTTCAGTTAAATCGACGCCTGACATAAAATCATTATTCCAAGCGCTGCGTGCGTAATTAAGATCATGTTTACTATATGAAAAAAGCTAAAGAGACAGGTAAATAGTAAGGACTGAAAAGACAGGTACAAAATCTCAACCCAAAGAAAAAGTTGTTGCGAGGGAAACATGAAAAGAAAACAGTAGTGATACATGCTGCTGCGGGAGAGAATTATTCAAGTTGTGTGGTTAGAAGAGTTTCCAAGATCTTAAGACGGTGCCCGTAAATCTGTTAGTTAACTGGATTATCAAAAACTTGATATGGAGATGAGAAGGAATAGATATGACCATATGAGAACAAATGAAGATTGAAAATGAATGGTTGCAGAATAAACATCTCTCTTCTGTAGTTATCTTATATATTTACTTTTGCCTACTTTTTCATTCATTTGATCGTTAGTACATACATACATGATAGTACAAATTTGTTAGAAAGTAAACATGCCTTTAATTTTACCAGACTTGTCAAAAGCCAGCTTGTAGGTTACTCGTTACACTGATAGCCTTGAACTATTTAGTTTAGTGCATGTACAAGTGACCCGTATGGGATATGGTTTCTCACACGCTGGTCTCTCTCTAAGGCAAAGCATCAAAGCGTATTGCAAATGCGGCTGGTTAAAAAGACCAAAAGAGACGCCAAATATATAAACAAGACACGTTTGACGCTAGAATTTCTAAATGTGCTAACAGTAATATATCCGACCCTAAATGGTCGGACGCCACCCCCTCATCACGTACCACTTTTCCCACCCAAGTTGAAGACAAGTAAAGGGGAAACTATTTGCACCTTTAGGGCCATTTGATAACTATTTCAGTTATAGTTTTTATTTTTCTTTTTCTATTTTTTTTAAAACTGAAACTGATATCTTGTTTAGTACGTACTTTCAGTTTTCAGTTAAGAGAAGAAAAAAAACTGAAAACTATTATTTGAGTTTTTAAAATTTGATACAGAGTTTTCACTTTTTTGTTTTTTAGTTTCAAATTTTGATATTGAGTTTTCACTTTTTTGTTTTTTTATTTTTATTTTTCAAAACTAAAAACTGAAAGTAATTACAAAATAAAATTTTAATTTTCAGTTAAAAAAAAAGTTAATTGAATATAAATGGTTATCAAACGACGCTTATGTAAACACAAGAAGAAGCCCAATTACAAGATAAACGTACAACAAAGAAATGGACCCTAAAGAAAATAAAAGAGTCCAAAACAGAAAAAATCCAAAAACAAACCCTAGCTGCCTTCATCCACTGCCGCCTCGACCAACCACCACTGGTCAATTCCGCTTTGGGCCACCCCTTGCGCCAGAATGAGGCATATCAAGCCCCCAACAACCGCCTGAAATGAAGCCAAGCAAGTCCTTAGAAGTGGATGAAAAGAAGACTCGAGCATCCTCCAACAAGCACCACTAGGATTGCCACCAAGGGAAAGAAGCCAACGGAAAGAAGCAATCCACAAGCAACAGTTCCAACGAAGGCAAACACATGGAAGGAGGTAGTGCGAACACTCCAGCCGGAGTTCTACGCACGCGAAATTTCTCATAGAAGATTAGTGGTTGTAAATCCATACGAGAGAGAAAGATATTTAAGACTTCAAGTGTTTAAAGTAAATGCTCCTATAAATTAGCAATTAAAACCTATGAGGAGATAATGTCTCATTCCGTCCAATGTACCAAAATAATACAAACATTGAATGCACGAAAATGCACATCAACAATTATGGCACGTCGTTTTATCTCACCGATCAGGGCCATGTTTCTGAGACAGTATCAAATCCTAAGTGCGGCGAGTTGCAACCAATTTCCCTAGTCTCGCTGTACCACTTATCT